CTCGCAACCCCCCTCCAACAAAACAAAACAAAAAAGCTCATACAAACCCGCTCAACTTAAACTCCCTCCCACCCACCGGGGTGGTGCCACTGACTGAAGTATCTTTAGGCCATTCCCAAAGGGGGGACATTTCTCGTTCTAATGCACAGTAGAAATGTAAATGGGCTGATTGAACAATGTCACTCTCATAACTGTGTCTAAACTACAACAAGGAACTGCTGCTTTTTCTTTCCTAATCCTTACTATAGTCATTTTCCTCTATTTCTTTTGTATGTTTGTCACACTCCTGTGACCCGCTATTTCCGGGGTGCCTTGATAGTTGAAGCAGACCTTGTGCTGTTGAAACTAGAGAGGTGAGCAGAGTAAGCCTGATTCCCTGTAAGAACTTCTCTGTTGGCATCCGCCCCTTGGCTCTCATATGACCTTATGCAGTTGCGAGCGCCGTAAAACCTCTACTAAAACTAATTTTACTCCCTCCCCACCTCCACAGAGCAACTCAAACTTGGAACACTTGGATGTCTCCTGGAACGGGCTGCGTGAAGAAGGCAGCACGGCCCTCAAACACATACTGGCCGAAAACACGACCTTGACACGTTTGAATATCTGTGGCACTGGGTGAGCCGGGTGACTGGCCAACAGCACTTTTAGGGAGGATTCAGGGAGGTTGGACTGCCTCACCCAAGAGCGGCGGTAGCCCTGGCTAAGAGCTCCTTCTTCGGGGCTCCTAACAATTTGGAAGGATATCCCCCCCCTACACAAAACAATAACAACGACAACAACAACAACAACAATAATAACAACAGCACCGACAACAACAACAGCTAGTAATAGTGATGCAATAGCTGCGAAAACATCCACAGTAACAACAACAGCAGCAGCAGCAGCAGCAGCAGCAGCAACAACAAAAAAACCCAAAACAAACAAACAACAACAACATAATATAGATCTTATGAATTATATGATATCTTTTAAGGACAAGCGGGTTAACCCAGATTTTGGAGGTTCCCAGAAATCGCAACCGACACCAAAAGTGGGCATTGCCCTACATACAGAAGAAGTTTGGTTTCATTGGTGTGTATATTTGTTCGGTTACAGTATAGAGAAAACTCTCCTTGTCTTTTAAAGAAACTGAACAAGAGTCCAAAAACTTTTAACTTCGATTTTCTCAAAACATCATTTTTCGGGATAGCCCCCTAGTGCTTAAAAGTGACCATATTTATTATGTTTCCCACACAATAGGTTTATTCTACGTTTGAATTTGTCTCGCCCCTCCCCTCTCCCATGGCCGCCCAATATGAGTATTTGAGCTCTCGGCATGATCTGGTGTCTTGTCAAGGGACAACAATTGACTCGATGGGTGTTGACTTAAAGTGATAAGTAAACCCTACAATCACTTTTCTGCCAGGCTTGGGTTATTTCCATCACTGTGCATTTTGCTCAGTGGTTAAACAAGTCGTACACATAGTTCGTCCGTTGGAATAACTGGATTATTGTGACTAGATTGTATCGGGGACATAAGGGGTATAATACAGCGTACTGCTGAGTTACGCACAATGCTCCCCCCTTGCCGTCACGCCTTGACGGGCTGTTTTAAGCGCAGTGCTTGAACTGGAAATTTTATAATGACATGCATTTCTAAGATCGCATTATATTCCAAAGCACAGAGTCGTGTTTTCAGCTTAAGGTTATTGCTGGCACTCTGCATTATTATTTTTTGTCTTTTGTTTCTGTTTTTGTTTTGTCTCTCCTTTTTTCAGCATTCGGCAACACGTTGCCTTGATAGGTACAGCACACGAATATAGTGCGGTCTGTCCTAGTTCTGATCCAGGCTAAAGCTCTATCTGATTCATGTTCATTTCGAAGTTTAAATTCAAAACGTTCTCTGCTTCTGCTTAATGCAGACAGACTTCCACTCTTTGAGGCTCCAGTTGGAAGAGTTGGCAAGTCTCCCCTCTTGGTCTTATCGGAAACAGACGGGTTTGTTAAGCATCCGATATTTCAGCTTTGCTTTTGAAAGAGAGCAAGGCAGTTCAAAACAGGGAAAGCAACGTTTTTGCTCCTTAAGATTTTGTTTGTAAACGTTGTATTTCCAGAGCTCTTGATATTGACTTTAGTACATAAACATTTTATTGTGTCACAGACAGTCAGTGTGGGTGGTTGGCGGGTGCTCTGGTGTGGTTTGCTCCTTCTTTCCTAGAAAAAATCTATCGTCTCTATCTCCCCTCCTTCTTCTTTGTGTTTGTTACTCTCTTGTACATATGCAACACCTCTAATCTTCAGCCCTTATATGACCTTATTGTGTTGCAAGTGCCGTAAAACTCTTAC